CCCCAAAACCCCAAAACCCCAAAACCCCAAAACCCCTTTTATAAAAGATTTTATTGAAACGGAAGAAGATTCAAATAGATCTGGTGAGGCTCCTAATGATTATTCCTCATCAGGGTCAAATTCTTTCTCCTCTTCGTCTCCTTCTCCAATGTTAAAGTTCGTATTTGTTCTCCTAAACTTGACTCCTCCTTCCTCAAGTTTGCTCTCCAGCCTCGTGATCTCGCCCTGCAGCTCCATGATGATTGCGTTCATTTTGTCAGTCTGCTTCGACTTTGTGTTCTTGACTGCAACGTTTTTGATGTTCTTGACTCGCTTCGCATATGTGAGCGAAGTGTTGGTCTCGTCGGTGTTGTAGCTGGCTGGACTCACATTTACGAACATGAGAGTTTTAGCGTTACCTCCAAGCGAGTCTTCCATCAGCATCGTCAATTTGTTGTCTCTGTATGGCACATGCTTCTTCTTGCCGTCTCCTAACGCTGAGATAACATTGCCCAGAGCCGACAGACTCTTGTTGATGGCTAAAGCTTCTTTAAGCCGCTCTTTGTCAGCACCAGTTTTAGAGACTCTTTCGGAGCCAGCCAGATCGACCAGAGAGAGTTTTCCGACAGTTCTCTGGCCAGTCTGCTTGTTCCTGCTGTTGATGACGATCGAGAATACGAGGTGGGACCTTGAACTCGTCGCATTCATGTTGGTGCTTGCAGTCTTTCTGTTGTCAAGACCAAACTCGAATATTTTGTTTGCTTGTGACAACGACTCAATTGGGATTTCGTGGGCGCCTTCGACTACAACCATTCCGTGTGCATTCTTCTTAATTTCAAGTGGCACTTCAGCAGCTTTCTTGGGCCTAAGCAGATCTTTCAAGCTTTCAAGGTACAGCTCGACCATGTAGCAAGACAGACTCACTTCGAAGTTGTCCATTGAGTCGAGGATGGTGAAGAGCTCTTCAAATATTCTCGGAGTGAGTCCGGGGTTCTTGGCGTCTCCTTGAATTGTGAATGTCTTACCAGATCCTGTCTGTCCATATGCAAAGCAGCACACATTGAACCCGTCAATGGCAGACTGCACCAGAGTCACAGACTCATCGAAGACTTCTTCTTGGGTGGAGTCAGGCCCGAAGCAGTTGTCGAAGTTATACTTCTTGAGTCCATTCTTGGTGTTGACTCAAATGGTCATTTCATCTGGGAAGGTGACTTCTTGGGTGTGGCCAGCTTTCTGTTCTTTGGAACTCATGGGTCTTGCTCTTGCAAAGACTCTGATTTTGCCTTTCATGTCTTCGATCATGTTGTGGAGTTTCTTTCGCTTCTTGACTTCTTCTTTGTACTTCACTTCGATGACTCCGAACTCGTTGGTGATTCCCTTGAGTTGTTTCTTGACTGACTTGTGTTCGGCCATGAGGTTCTCAGCATCTCCGACTTGTTCTTTCATATCCTCAATCGTCTTCTCCAATTTCTTGATTTCTTTGTCTCTCTGTTTGATGCCTTGCTCTGCCTCATCGAGCTGAGTGTTGAGCACAGTGCTTTGATCTTTGAGAACTCTGAGTCTTTGCTCGAGCTCAGCCTTCATGTCTTGGAATTCTTGTTTGAGTTTATCATTCTCAGCAGACATTTTGCCTTTGCTGACTTCGAGCTTCTTCTCAAGTTCTTGTTTTCTGGCAGCAGCTTCTTTGGCTTCTTTGCCTCTGGCCTTCTCATTCTTCTTGATGGATCTGTCTTTCGACTTTTCAGCTGCAGCCAGGTCTCCTTTGAATGCTTTGAGTTCTCGGTCTTGCTCTTTATTAATGGAGTGGAGATTCCGGATTTCTTCTTTACGAGTTTCAGCTGTGATGTTGAGCGTTTCAACTCTGTCTTCGAGCTTCTCAAGTTTTGACTTGAGTTTGGAAATTTCTTTGTCTTTATTTTTGAGTTGCCTTGCTTCAGCAGTTGAAGCTCCTCCCTTCTTCTTGGACTTTTTGGGAGGACCCATTTCCATGTTTTGCAGCTGGTCATTCTTGTCTTCCAGCTTTTCGATCTTCTGGTGGAGTTTCTCGATCTCTTTGTCTTTCTTATCGAGCTTCACTTCGAGCCGCTTGGTTGGTTGAACCTTCTTGTTGAGTTGGGCGTTCTGTTCTTTAAGGTCTTCATTTTCATTCATAAGAGCATTGAGCTGTTGCTCCATTGCATGATCAATGTCTTTTGCTTTGACTTTGTCTGAGCTGAAGTTCATTTTCCTAAGGTTGGATAGTTCTTGATCTAACTTAATGGCTTTATCTTCTTCTTTATTGAGGTTTTGCTTTAGGTGAAGGTTTTCTTCTTCTAGTATAGCTATTTTCTCTTCAAGGTCACTAACAGTCTCTTTGAGTTTTGGACAATTTTTACAAGGAGCAGAAGAAACTGGAGCTACAGTGCTAGTATTTATTTTGATTTCACCATCACTATCCTCCTCTTGTTCAGGAATTATGGGATTCTCTTTTATTTGATTCAGCTCAGTCTCAATTTCGTTATTTTTCTTTTTCAAGTTTTTGAGTTGTGTCATCAATGCTTGGTTCTCTTCTTGAAGGTTTTCAATATCCTCTGCATCTTCATCATTTTCTTCTCTCTTCTTTATTTCAGCTAATGATTTTTTGAGTATATCATTTTCTTTGCTCAACTTCTTGATCTCCTTTTCCAAATCTTCATTTTTAGAGGAATGAATGAGCATAACTCTTTTGGCTTCAGCCACAGCATCCTCTCTGTCTTCCTCTGGGACAAGTTTTTCGACCATTTTCTTTAGTTCTGGATCTTCTTTGAAGGTATCTTCTTCATCATCCTCATTTTCATCTTCTTCTTCATCTCTGATTCGGTTTTTCTTCTTGCTCTTTTTCTTCTTCATTTTAACCTTGTTCCTTTCCTCGGCAACTTCTATGGGGATGATTTCAGCACCTTGCTTCTCTGCATCGTCTATCTGCTGCTGCATGATTTTCATCTGGCTTCTACTTTCTTTGAGAAGTTCGTTCAAATTGTTTAGTGCTTTAGCTAAATCAATCTTTTCTTCCTCCATTTGGGCCTTATCCTCCTCTAATTTATCGATACGTTTGAGGAGTTCCTTGGTTTCGTTTGAGTGACCTCCCATTGCACCAACTGCAGCTATATTGAGAGTGGTTGCTTTTTCACCATGAGCAACTCTTTGAGAAGTTATACTTTGGATTTCACTGTCCTCCGAATCATTATCATCGAACATTGACTTTCCTTTCTCCTCTTCATCTAGCATTTTAGTCTTTTTCTTCTTGATGGGTGCTTCAAATCCAGCCACAGCTACTGCGTTTCCTGAAGCGATTTGGTCTTGCAAGTCGTTACATTTTTCTTCAAATTCTTCACGTTTTGTAGTCTCCTCTTCAAGCTTTTTGGTAATTTCTGCTAATTGGGTTGACAAGTCATCTCCTAAGTGCTGCTTTTCTTCTTCAAATTTAGCTTGTACTTCAGCCTGCTCATCTTTTAGTTTCTCTATCTGAGTTTCTCGTTCATCAATAATTTTATCTTTTTCCGAAATTTCATTTCTATATGAGTCCTTGATTTCTTCAAGTAATTGAGCCTTTGCTTGAATTTCTTCTTGGCCTGCTTCATTCTCACTGATGAGGAAGATCTTCTCTTTCTCAAGCCTCTCGTTCTCGATGCGTTGCTTCTTATTCCGTTCTTTGTAGGTCTTTTCAATTTCATTTCTTTCGTCTATTGCTTTGATGAGAGCAACTTGAAACTGTTTAATTTTATTCTTGGCTTTTGTTTTCCAAGCATTAAGCGTCCTATTATAAATCTCCCTTGTTTTCTCCTCATGCTTGATAAAGCCAGTTTCTAGATCCTTCATGGTCTTGTTGTAGTTATCCTTCATGCGACGCATATCGTTCTCCATGAGTCATATGTGCTTTTGCGCTACAGCGACAGGGACATATGGCTCCTCCTCGAATTTTAGGCTTTCATACGGTCTTTGATCTTTGAGTGACATATCATCTTGAGAATACTCTTTCTCATTGTCAGCTCGTTCAAAGAAGGTCTGCTTGCCCGCCACTCCTTTGAATGGGGAATGGCTTCGAGGAACATCGTCTTGTACGACATCCAAAAGTGACATATTATTCGAATTATTTCCTCTTTTTAATCAATATTATTATATAACTCAGGGGTTTTGGGGTTTTGGGGTTTTGGGGTTTTGGGGTTTTGGGG